TATCTACAAGTTGCAGCCTTCCAGCATCCTGCCTGGCGCTATGTCGCCAGAGGTGATCCATGACCAATTGGCCCAGAGGCCCTAGTTCCTAACCCCTTCTGTCCGGCAAAACATGCACTGTTTAGAAGCTAGCAGGTCTTCAAGCCAACTGGAGGTTTCCTGCGTCTCGGAGGGTTTGATTTTTCGTTCAGTGGGGAGGGGTGACAGCGAAATGAGTCACTAATGGGATTTTTGGCGTAATTAGCACGCGCTAGCGAAGAAAATCTTCACCTGTGCTGGAAAGTAGAAATCTTTCCTTCTTCCCCGCCCAAAACAAATTTCTTTTTTTACGAAGCGCGTTTAGAAGCTTGCATGGAATTTCTCAAATCACGTATCGACGCTTGCAAAAGCGGTATGTGACCGCCAAAAAATCATCACAGACCGATTCACAACGTATGATCTACAACGAAGGAAAATCTCAGAAAAATCGAAACGTTTTTGAAATCGCTCAATTCAGGTGACAAGAGCCAACTTTGCTCTACTTATTCCCACTTACCACTATCCGATAGCTTCACTTTCAATGAACCTATGGGTGTTCATATTGCAGGTATCTTTTTCATGGTGTTGGCTTGAAAATTGGCTTTACTCAAAAATAGCGCGCACCATGCCGCTTGTATTGAACCTCGCGCACCTACGAAACAGCCAAAATTCAGATAACAGCTTTAGTCTCATTAGTTTCGATCTCACAGCTGGTCCTTGCCGTGAGGGTTTCTTCTTATATCATCTGAATCGTGTTATATCTTTATTGTTCTGTTTGTATCTGGACGTCTTCTGATATTTTGTTGAGTCTTGATTTTTGTTGTACGGAATGCTCAGGATCAATTTCTATTGGTTCAGTACGGTTGGCTTTTATGCGAATGGATTCTTTTAACGATTGCGGATTAGTCGATGGCGAATTTATCACTATACCACAGTATGAGGTCAGGTCACGGTGCGTGTCTCGATAAGTGTCTTGAAGTTTTTTTGTGAGGAAGAGGAAAAAGTTTCAGCAATATTTTTTTAGTTCTTGGCCTAGGAATAGTTCGATAGTGCCTAGTTCTATTTATTGTCATCTACATCGTCCCTTTTGAGCTTCTTTTCACTTGTACCGTGTATCACCGCTCTCTCCACTTCAACATGGGCCATGCGTTTACGACCCCCCCATCGCGGGCAAATACGACCCCCCGGTGATGATCACAAAAATGGAGTGCCCTGCTAGATAGGCTTTAGGATATTCAGGACGATTTGAGGGAGGATGATCCTCCTACTTGACGTATCAGCTTGACCCTGCATCAGGTGGGGGACGGACTTAGGAGTGATCGTTGTGTCAGGCTGTGAGACGACGATGAGGGATGGAATCGTCGTCAGAGCGAGTCGCCACAGCGCTGATGTAGGCGTGTGAATGTAGCCCTCGAATACTGAGTCCACGACCAACTAACGCGCAGAAGCCCTTTCTAGCCAGGCGGTGCGGTCCGCGTCCATGAAGACGGTCAAGATGATCACGATTTGTCCCGCACCGTCGCGCGCGTCGGCAGGCTGGCGTTTTTATGAGTTGCCTTCAGCCTGTCGATTAGAGCAACGTATTTCATGTGAAAATTGGCATCGTAGACATTTGTAGCTATTTTTGATTCTACTGTCTTTTGTCGCCAGCTACAACCTAGAAAAACGCGGAGGCAGGTCCTTTATTTCTCTGCGCTCTGGCTTTTCGCACCAGGACCCCCAAGAAGATTTCTAGTTATCACATCACTCTCAGAAGGGATGGAAGGTCTGGTTGGATCCAGGTGGGAGGTGAACCTTACTTAACCCTTTGGCCTTCTTGGAGTTATTCCAGAGACCGTAGGTGAAATCTTCGAAAACCTTCCATCGCAAATGTTCACGAAATAATGGGAAAATAATGCATTTCCCTCACTTTTGGCTCCTTTCATGTTCGTTGTTGTGTCTCCTTAGGGGATTTCAAGCGATTCTTCTGAAAATCTTTTTTTATGGAATAATTCAGTAAAACGAAAGATACTGAGGGTCGCTCCCTCCTCACAAAAGTAATCCTGGGCAACTTTTCTGGTCCTTTCAATTTGCGGATGCTTCGAGCATCGTAAATCCTTCGCGTACTCAGAAATAGAAATATGTTTGTAAGACTCTAAGGCATGGTCCGCGATCAGGTTTCAGAAGTTGAAAATGTGGCGTTGGGAGGGTAGTGTGGTCCGCGACGAACAACCTTGTACCGGTTTCGCGGCAAAAAATTGTAAGGGAGGGGCGCTATAGCGTCATGCAGGTTCAGTGACGCTACTTTTTTGTCAGCTCTCCCCCCCCCCGCCCACCAAACTCCGCCTCGAAGGGCTGACTGTCTTTCAGTGGAAAACGAGCTACAGGCCGAAAAAGCGTGAAAACCGTCACCTGTACAGTCGTAAAGTTCTTATCGTGGAAGCAGCTGTGCAGATGGGGGCATTGGGCAAAAGTTGCACGAGCTGAGATCGAAATGGGGTCCTATCTGGGGCAGTTGCCATATTCTTTTTTTCTGATTTCTTTTCTTCACTATCTTACTTAGCACCTTCTCTTCCATATACGAAACCCTCTAATTCACTTCGATGGCGAATGCTTGAGCTTTGCTCAGTGAGTGGCTACTAAGCAATAGATGAAGTTTCAAGCCGCGTCCATACTCAGGATAGAGAATCGTGATGTTTGAAATGGTGGTGTCAGAACGACCCCCTTCTTCCCTACCAACAACCCACGAATTCGTCGAACATTTTCCAGCAGCAGGCCACATCATTGTTCGGGCGATTTTAGTCGACTTTATTTACGACCCCCCACCTCTGGTCGTGCCTCATCGAATCCGAGCGTTCGAGGGGGCGCGGGGGTGGTAAATAGCACAAGGTGAAACAAGAAAGAGCTGCGGCGACAATAACGACTTCTGCCACAATCAGATTTTCCCAATATCGCTCCCCATTTTCCAAAAATTCTCCGGAAAACTTCGCCTTACTTTTTACAAAAAATTTTCCGCTGTCCCGAAGGCGGTACGTGGGCATATTGAGACGTGGCATACTACCGGAAAATCATCCAAAAGTCAAACCGCCATCCACAAGCCGACTACAAACTGTGGAATATGACACCTCCCTATCCCAAAAGACATGAGATCAAGTGTCACCCCCCCCTCCCCTTATAACGTCCATGAAGCGAGAAAAATTCAACTATCAACATGAATTTTTCCAGCTCAAATACGCTCCCCCCTACTGGGGATTCCCCAACAACGATGTGCCCTGGGTTTCCAGGAACTTACCAAAGGTTTTCGTCGGAGTGAAGGGGAGGGAGAATATAATCCGAGTTGGGAAAAAGGTTTTTTTCCAATGCGGCACATTCCTCTCAAAAGCACGTACGAACCCCCCCCCCCTCTCAGCCAACTGCCGACTAACGGCCCCTATTCCCCCTGCGGGAGGACAGTACGGACCTCCCGTATGTGTGTTCACGACAACGATGTATGTAAACCGTGTTCATACTCGCGCTCTGACGATCTAATCGCCTTACTTTGGAAACCGGTAGACGCGACCGACTTACGCCTCAATCTTATCATGCTGAACTTGTTGCGACCACGTTGTGGCATCACTCTGCCTTGCAATTCGATGATTACGCAGTTGCGGAGCAGGTCCCACTTTTCTTCTACTTTCAGTGTAATTGCCAATTTAGCTAGCTGCAGCGGGAACAACAGCTATGGCTGGCTAGGAGCCGAGAGATTTTGACCGTCATTCCAATTTGCTGACTAGGGATCGGACCTTCGAAAGCGAGGTAAGATGTAAGAGGCCAATTCACATATGGAAATACGTCATCTGATCAGTCTTCTAACAATAAAAGCCTTATCGAAGTTACTAAAGAGCACCAAAGCATACCGACAACTCGGTTCTGTGTGACAGTTGCGTGACACTGATTGCACTTTTCGCGTTCTAAACGAAGTGTGTTCAACGCGGATTTGAACGAAGAAGAAATATTTGAAGAACAAATATTTTTAAGATGTTCAGGTGCTTCATGGTGGTATGGATAGAAGACCTCGGACCACAGAAGCGGTTGATCCGCCTCTATGAGAAAAAACAGTGTCCCTGAATAAGAACAAATGTGTTCGTCGGCAGTTGTTGGGGAGCCTCGATGGCACATTCTGAGCTGACCACATAGGCGGGCAGTCGCGTCACATTTGCGCGTCGTATCGCCTCAGAAGGCAAGTATGAGAGGCATTTGTGGGGAATCTCCACCCACAAAAGCATCGTGGAAATCGGGTTTAGAGGACTCCGATTCCCTTCCTCGCTGTGATTTTCTCAGCTACAAATCTACAACTTGTTCGCTGCGGATAACGGGGTCTGTCGGGTGGGCGCGGGTTTTGGTGCGGTGTTTGTCCAGTCTGCCTGTTTGCATTTTTATCCTTCTGCCAAGCGGCAGATCAAAATCATGTCTTCGTGCCGGCAGTTTCTAGCTGTTGTTGTCGTTCACCTGCTTCAGCATCTGGTGAAGAACCGGCTGGGTGTGCGCCAAACCCATCCGCCCCATCATCCGCGTGCCGAACATCTAATTCTGAATTTTTATGAAATAACGAGTGTCAAATTGTAGAATCTTTCTGTTTGAGTCATATGAGAGTGTGGTAACGATTCAGGCCGCAGACGTCATCCCGTGCCGTCCCACCGCTTCTGTAAGAGGCAGAATGATTAGAAAAGCGGCTCTTTAGCCGGCCACAGTGACCCTATGCACATCCAAACTTGTCCAAGTCGGAGCAAGAAGTTCGTCCTACCCGGATTCCAACTCTCCTTTGAAAAATTACCCCGCCTTTGTCGTTGATGTGTGTTTGGCAGCGTCTAGCGCCACATGATTGCGGTGCGGGACTTTGGTCGAGTCATCGTACGACGCCCCCCCATGGTTCCCTCCTCATTGCGAGCTCGTGAGGGTGGGGAGCTGCACATGAAACAGGAAAATAAAGCACCAAAGATTCGAGATTCATTAACGCTTCTTGCTCAACCTTTTTCAAACTGCAGCCTTTTTGGACCTCTGGCGCTCTTCTCGAGAGATTGCTTTGGTGGACCCTGTAAGAAATCCTTTATTAGATCCGTATCTGAATCTGGGCAGCTAAGCTACTTAGTCGATAAGCTTCACAAAATGGCCAGTCAGAAAATACGAAAAGTGGGACTATCGGTGGCCGTCAATTTACCATTGCCCTTGAAACGCTATTGAAGGGGAATTTGAAATTGACTTTGAAAAAAAAACCCCTAATTCAAAATAGCTATGTGTAAAATACAGATAGGTTCACAGGAGCATGGCTCTCACACCCTCCGCAGGGGCGAAAGCGAAGGAACATCCTCTTGAGTCACTTGTGGCGGTGATAATCTCAGACTTGACCGGAAGACGCTCCCATTGCGCACAAGAAAAATTCAGAAACGCTTGTGTATTTCCCGAGATTTCCCATTTGAAAAAATACCCTGCTTTAATGGGTGAGAGCGCTAACTCCCTGATCATTCAATTGGGACGTGGGGACATAATTTTCCGGTGAGCGACCCATTTGACCCGGAACTGTGCCTTTCTAGTTTGTGAGATACAGAGTGATAAAAACACTAGACCATTTTTTAAGGACAGCACAAAGGCGCAATGGCTGGAATATTTGCAATAACCTCAATAAAGATGGCGCTGTAATCCCGAAGGGGCATTCGGAGAACTTCTCCCACAGAACCGAAATTACCAAAATGGAGACGAGGGCTTCTGCATAAGCCTGAAGATGGAAAGAAGCTCCGGGTGGATAAACTTTTTCCACTATCGCGGTTCTCTTGAGACGTAGTTGAGGAATCCCACTTTTGTATGAGTGCTCCTTTGGATGTCCCTTACAAGACTGTTTCAGCCAGTTCATAATCCGGGAATCAGAAGTCATCAAAATTTCAGAATAAAGTATGCAATGATATTCTCACCTTTTTCTCGTCTTGTTTTGGTTGAGTTGGTTGAGGTAGGGAAGGTGCTTTCGCAGTTTTCAACTGCTCAACGGAGGTGTCCGAAACTGATCTCGCTTTGCTTGTTCCTTTCTGAAAGAGCTTGATCCATAATCTTTGTACAGGGGTGAAAAAATTACGTTGCGGCACAGTGCCCAAACTGGGCAACACGCGCGAGTGTGGCCCAGTTCTGGCCACACTTTTTAGATTTCCCCCAAAAAATACTAGTAAATCCATTCCGGCCACTCACTACCAATGGTTGTGTTTCTTGAAGATCACTTTCTTTCTCCTGGAATAAAACAGTGAATATTGAAAGATGTTTTGTGGAAGAAATAGCATCGTACACTTTGTGAATAGGGTTTGCTTGCTAGACCCTTACTCCCAATCACATCATCTGACGGCTCCTTCCGAACGTAGTCGAAGCGACGCCCAAATTTGGGACCCTGAAAGTAAACTAATTCGCGCTACCGTATTCCAGAGAATATTAGCCGCCATTTACTCTTGAGATCTAGGATTTTTAATACTTCCTGTGAAGCGATTCTGATAACATACCAAAAGTTTCCTGATCATCTCCACGTCATCTTTACTAATGACTTGTTGCTCGTCCCTGGGCACGTTTACGTTGGCCACTGAACCGATCATCGGATTCGCTTGCTTGATTAGAGCCATCGATGCCTTAACAATATAAGACTTGTATTGAAATATTGAAGTATAAGACTTAGTTATACACATGCGGCAGAAGATTCGTTGCAGGTGGGGTCACGTGCGCGGCGTTCGCACCAGGACCTGATTAATTACCTGAATAATCCAACGTGGTAGGACATCTGTGTATCAAACTAGCTAACTGGAAAGTATTATGCGTCGGGGTAAGGTGGATCTATAGGAAAATTTGAGACCGTTCTGATTTCCGTGTGAGGTTTCGTAGAAAACAAACGAAGGCTAAAAAGTACCACTTGATCAGGGCACATCATTGGTTGGGGATTTTAGTCGACTCTATACGACCCCCCCTTTTTTGGGAGTTGGTACGACCCCCCCCCCAGCCCTCTGTCCTTCCTCATCGAATCGAGCCGTCGAGCGGGGGGGGCATATAGTACGTGAAACAGGAAAACGCCACAGTCAACCCGCACTCCCACAAACGCCAAGACGTAAATACGACCGCCCCCCCTTCCAAAAATGATCCAAATTACGACCCCCCCCCCCCCGCTCGTCCTTTACCAACGTCCATGAAGCGAGAAGAAAAGAATCATAATACACAAAATAATTTTCCTCGTCACCGGCAAACAGACCCCCCAACGAGAATTCCCCAATAAACGATGTGCCTGCACTTGATGCTGCCAGACGGTGCGCCTCAATGCCGGCGCCGATTTGCAATAAACCATCATGCCACGCACTCACCTGCGTTTAAAAGTCTTGTTTCATAGTTAAAAAGGTGAGTACTTCGAGCTTTACTGGTTAGAATAGTAACTTGTATCTATTGCTAGTAACTCCAACCAGAAATTCTTGAAAAAATGTGCGCAGTTTCAAAAGAAGAGCAACTTTCTGCGCGCCCGTACTTTACTTTTCACACTGAGGATAGAATAAGGTTTGTTTTCCGCTTGCGAATCGAAGATCCTCCTCCTCCTGACTGAACTCCTCATCCATCCGGTGATACTCAGAAGTTCTTACCTTAGTGTGAGGAAAGAGCAGAGCTACGTCGACAAGAATCAACGGCGGAAGTCGTTCATACAAGCTTTCCACGTAGGAATAACCAACCTAAACAAAGTTCGTTTAGGACTGATTTTACACACTAATTTTCTTGGAGGCATGGAGGTCTACAGCGATCGTAGTGGCATCATCAGATGGTATGTACCACCGTACCTTTCCATCATCTGTGCCTTCCTTTTTCGTAAAAGGAACAGATAGAGGTGAGAAAGCACAACGGTGCCCGATCCTTTTTTGGGTTTGCCACTATCGAAATGTTCCTTCCAGGTTCCAACTATCATCTAGCAGCGCGCTGTTTGACTGGGGGATGGCATTCTGCTTTTCATAGATTTGCCAACCCATCTAGGTACCCTTTTTTCGAGTTGACACGTTTTAGGTGGCTAGACGATCTTGCTCCAGCTTCACAAGCGTTCACAAGTTTTACCAGAGTGAGATTTGTAAACCGGAACCAGGGAAGCAATTATAATACAAAATGCCCCCCCCGTCGATAAAACAGCGCGCCTCATTAGCAGTTCATTTAACAAAGGTCCTGATTTTTTGATACCTGTAAGTTTCTCTCTATGAGCATGTCGATCTCAAAATCATCTTCATCCAATCCGAATGGATTCAGCATTACCTGAGAATGAGTAGAAATCCTTAATCGAAAAATTTATTCACAAGAATAACTCGGTATTTCTTAACAGATGATCGCGTAAAAAAAACATCGTCACCGGGGAACATCTTGCCGTTGGAGAAAACCGCAAAATACGATCCATTTCGAAATCTCTCCTCCCGGTACGATCCCAACCACATCATCTTACCGTCTTACCACAAGCTCCCAACTTATCAATCTTCTGGCGCTCATTTTTCCGAATTTCCTTCCAAAAATCCTTCATTTTCCCCCCACAATAGTCTGCCATCAAGCGACTTGGTGGGCGGAAGAGAGGAACCGGCAACCGAAAAATTCTGGTCAAAGGCAGATACGATCGCCCCGCTCCCTGTAGCAACCAGACACGACCTCCATCGCTGGGAACCCCCATCGTACAATGTATGTACCTTGGTCATCGCTGCTACTGTTTCAAACTGTACGCGTCTTCGGCTAGTACGACTTTTAACTCATCGGAATGCTTGTTTGGTCGGTGTGGTCATAATTCGGGAGGGAGCGGTGAGATACGTGGGTGTGACCGCTTCTTGTAGAAAACAACCAGTGATAGAAAAGGCCAAAGACGAGCTCACTCCGCGGCTCGTGAGACCTTCCTTCCAGAATGCGACGACATCAGCAGTAAATTTAATGGGATCTAGAACCCCATTCTATTTCAGGTGCTCAGTTCACACTGATAGCATGGGTGGGATATGGACGGAGACCGTCAATCTTTGCAGTTCCCATCGTGCTGCGCCCTTCCGCTTAACCGTCTTACAGGGAAGGGCACACGAATAAGGAAAACACATTGGTTCTCCCGTCTCCGCCCATGCTATCAACAAAGAATTTGCCTTCAACGGAAGAGAGCATGAGATGTGAGTATTGGCGTTAGAGCAAGAAACGAGGGCTTTGCTAGTGCCGTAAGTAAGACTTTTAATTTTGTGGTGATTTCTTAGCATTGTACAAGTTCACTGCGGAAAAAGCTCTCAAGGCCAGACAGTGAAAAGACGAGAGAGAATGCAGAATCAAGAGACGACAGCCACATGTGCCAGTTCCAGGAAGGGGAGGAGACAGCGGCGAGGGGCGGGCATCGCCAGCAACACAATCACGGTCGCGGAACTGCCGCGCGCCTTCGAGCTGGGTCATCTGTCATCTACAAAACAGTTTTCTTTAGATGCGCTCTCGGGTTATCCGAATTTTCTACCTTCTCTTTTTTCCCTATTCAAGAAAAAAAAGATAAGAATCAATCTTACCTGAGCTACTTTGAGCCAACCAACAAAGAAAATGAACTCGTAAACGTTATAGACTGGCACCACAAATTCGTTTATCCATACTCTTGCACCCTAAATTTGCACCTATTAGGGCGCGAAGGCGTGCAATTGTTAAGGGAATAAACTAAAACATCTCATGACTCGATAAAACTTACTGGTTCCTTGATAGGTTGGTTTGCAATACATGTTATGCCAAAGTACGCAACTGTACAGATATGAACTACCTAAACCTCACATTTTTCTGGAGACTATATCAACAACGACACAGCAAAATCAGCAGCAAACAGTGCGTGCTTGCGCATTCTTCCAGCTGTGCCCGCCTTCCTCAGAAACCACCTCAGAAACCCCTCAATCAATGGCCGACGGTAAACTGTGTCCAGTTGCGATAACATAAGATCATAGACTTCAGGGCATCTGTCAACCTAAACATAATCCTCGGACGGAAAAAGCTTAAAAGTCCGAACTGGATTTATTGTCAAGCTCTATTTCGCATTTGGCATGTCGCACTAAATCCGTGCAATCTTGAGATTTCATTGTCAATGAGAAACTCCAGTTTTTTAGATTCAGGACGCTTCCCTCACTACAGTGCACCCTATATAACCGTCCACTACTGCATCTCTTCCTTTCGCTCCATCAGTTTATGTTTGCAGGCACCTTGTTCCCTCCGCACAAGTCTACGCGACCGTGGGTCGCGCGAGCTTAAGCCTATCAGACCATTGTTTGTTCCGGACTGCCCCCACTAGGAAGGATCGCACTATCGAAAAAAAAACGATATAAGTACACCTGTAGTAGAGGGGCTAAGCTAGGCCTCATTTTGCTCATATAGCCTAAACTGTGCCATCATCGGGTGCGACTGCCAGTGTGCGCCAGTAGGTAAGGCTGCATAGTGCATAGAGTATGTCCCATTTTAAGAACCATCACATAGCTACGCTAACTGCAAGAGTGAGCAGTCTCATAACACCTGAAAGGGCCGAGTCCAGTGAAAGTGTAACTGAGTATGTGGAGGGCCATGGTTTAATGCGTAGTAACTCTGAAATGTCAGTTTGCCATTCGAATGGCGCTCTCACTATAATCAGGTTTAGTTATGTCAGCAATTTTCTAGTGACTCCATGAATCTGCATTTTCCTCCCCCCCTCCCTGATCAGAGAGCCTCTGATTCAGCGCTGCTGATACCACTTATGAATCTCGTTCCATTACGCAAAAAGACAATAATCGCTTTTACATGGTCAGACGTGGTCATCGTCTATTACTCTCGCCCATTGATCCTCGAGCTCCTCCGAATGAGCCAACTCGTAATTTCCGCTATAGGCCTCTCGAATTCTTGGCGCTTCAGCTTGCTCTTAACGTACATCGTGTTTATTAACGCACATTTCTTTCTTTTATCGCCCTACAGAAAAAAGATCGTGCCAAGGGAGAAAACACTTTCGCGCGATGCAGGCCGTGACTCCCCGTGCAAGCACCAGAAATCTCCCCTCCAGCATTCGTTATATTACTGGATTGTATTTCTTTTTTACTTTGCTATTTCATCTACTTCTTTCGCCTTTTTTTCATGTCATACGGTGCAGCTGATGTGCTACATTCATTATGGAGAATGAAGTTTTGTCTGAGATAAAAAACTTCACCTGTGTGTAAACTAAAGGCACGTTCACCCAGTCGTATGAAAGCAGATTATGCATCATTTCACGGTACTTTAGCATTGTCTGAAAACCATTTAGGCAGAAATTTATCCCAAAATGGAATCTTCCCAATTGTTTCCGAGGGACGACAGGCAGAAAAGCATCGAAAAAAGACGTTTTACACTTTTGCTACTTCCTTTTGCTACGTCGTGTCGACCCATCTAGAGAGCCTTTCTTGAGTTGGCAGGTTTTACCATGTTGGTTCGGCGAGCTTGCTCCAGCTTTGCAAGAGTTCACAGGTTCAACCAAACTGAGACTTGTTGAGTGGAATTAGTGCAGCAGCGAAGTGTAAAATGCCCCCGTCGCCGAACTGCGCCAAGATGAGATGTGGAGAAATCAGACGAGTTTCTCAGAGAAAAGCGGGTACTGCCTTGACCTGAGAGCTTTGATTTTTGTTGCTGTACTAAAACCCACAGCCTGCGTAGTGGGGACCTGCTGTGGCGTTCAGTACCTCTCGGGAAGGAGACCTTCACGAACTCGGCTACGGTGTCCGAAGCATATGAGTTACTGCTTTTTAGGATATACCAATTGTTGATATGTTTTATCGAAACAATCAAGGCACATCCCTTCTCTAAGTGCCCCTCCCGTTGAGCAATGAAGATTCAAATGAGACTATTCTCATTACAATGGCCCACATGAAGACACAACCAGGGTATCACACCTCTCAACGGCTACACAAAGCAGTTCCTTTGCTATTTTGCTGGAAAATAATTTCTTACATCGCATAGCACTCCGAAATGGTATTCGTCAATCTGACCCCTCCGATAGCACTTTTTCAACAGTTGTGTTGCCCATTCGATGGGCATCCAGTAAACTCGCTTAATGTCCTCTTTCTCGATTCGACTTTTCTCGGCTTCGGTTAGTAGTGAAGGTACCTTAATAAGGCCTTGATTAGGTGTCTCTTAGCTCACATGGGCTATTTTCAAAATGCAATTAAATGCGAAATGCGATGCAATGCGATGCGAATGCGAAGAACAAGAAATACAAGAACACTGTAGTTGACCGATTCCTATTCGGGATGCGCCAGGCATACGACTACCATCAAAAAGTAGTGGCTTTCGTGGGCTATTGCTTATACGCGTGCTAGTATCAGCCGACATACAGAACGCCTTTTAATTCTCTCAAGTTCAACTTTAGTAGCAACTAAACAACCCCAAAGTGACGGAAAGCTTGCCTGACCTGAGCGCACTTCGGTGAAACCCCTAGTCTTTGAACAGTGCGCGTAAAAGCAGCGCCATTCACCACTACACATCATAATTGTTGAGTTCAAATCAAATAGGTTTCTATCTAGTCGCCAGCAATACAT